GACCAACAAATAATTTTTATGAATTCTATCTTAAATGCATATACATATATTTGATGTATTTTTGCTTTAATAATACAACCAAAAATCAATAAAACTTTAATACAATATCTCTTTCCATCCAGAGTTCAAACAGCTGTTCAATAACACTCAGCTAGTTCTTGTGTCAAAATCTCATTATTATTTTTCCAGGTTCCAGTAAGGGCGCTTAATCTTAGTCTCATGATCTCAGGAAAGGTATCCATAATTAACTGTGAAATAATGACAGCTAATGCTGGGGTTAGATTTGTACTTGCCAAATATAACAATTGTCCCATTATAGAGAAATTCACAGTGTGAGTTTTCAACCCACACAGGCTGCCACAGGAGGCGCCATAACACGTGGTTCCTCTGCAGCTCAAACTCAGAACCTCTGTGTACAAGGCAGATGTGTAAGGCAGGCCAGAAAGTCCTACTTAGCATCAATGCTACTGTGACTGCACATGATGTCTGTTTATTTACTGAATAGATGTTGTTATATTGGTTAGCAAGAAATCCACTCATCTGAAACAGAGAGAAAATGGTATATTAAGTCCAAAGTGTCTTTCAGTGACTATTTAATGCCTCTGTGCCTGCTACTGTGACTGCACATGATGTCTGTTGATGTCTGTTGTAGCACAGAAGTTAGCTGTGCTACAACACTTTTTGATGACACGCTATTTATATTTGTAACTTGATTGTCTTTAGTAATTTATATTAAAATATGTTGGCAAACATTTCATTACCTGTGATTTCATCTTTAATTGAAATGTAATCTGACAAATTTAGATGAGAGGACATTAGACCAGATCCCACTGGTCTGTTCGCTTGTTTACTTTGACGTTTATTATCTGTGTAATGAGTAATTAAACATCAGTGACTGCATCTATTTTTCTTTTTAAATTGTCTTTTGGTTTTTTTTATTAATTTCTCCCGAGTCCGTATTTGGAAACATATTGGCTGTTGCCGTAGTAACAGCTATTCTTGGGGTGTAGCCAAACTATCAGAGAGGAGATGCACAGCACTGCCAAGGGGGAAAAAAAACAACCAAAATAATCCTGATGATGTGATGCAACCACATGCAACTCAATGTAAATTCAAGTCAAACTTTACCAACCGGCTCCTTGTTCCATGTTCCTTATTCCTTCTGGTATCACAGGTTAAATGTAAGCAATTTTTGAAGCCCTCCTCGTAGTCCTTGACTTTATCACTTTATTATTCATTCACTGCATTCAGCCCTGGTGAGCGCGCATGAGGACATTCACCCCTGAATATTTTCCATGCCAGAAGCCTTCACGGAGAGCTCTTGATATTGAATTTCAGAAGATTTGCATTGGCATTCACAGTGCTCGCACGTCCTTGGGTGGAGCCCCGCCCACCGACGAACAAACTAAGAGCTAAGCACCTGCATCCATCTCTGGCATTCATGTTTCCTTGTTCTCCTGCCTTTCACCAATCCATCAACACTCAATGCCTCCAGCTATTCAAACTCTTTACTGCCAACCACCTATGAAAGTACCGGTGTCCTTCACTAACCAAATAAAGCTTATTAAAAACTGACTGACTGTGAGAGAAAGAGGAAGTGAGAACAGAAGGAGGGTGATGCAGAGTGGCCAAGAAGAAAATGTGGAGTTCACAGAGGGGCAGGCATGAGTGCAGGTAAAAAAAGAAGTGGCACAGAGTCATATTTTAGTGCCAGAGAGAAAAAAAGAAGAGTTGAGGCAGAGTGCAGAAAGAGAAGATAACAAGGCAGGAACGACAGAGCTGGGCAGGAGGAGGGTGGACAGGAAAGGGCAGGTACAGAGTAGGAGAGAAAAAACAAAAGGCAGTAGGAGGGGGGAAAAACAACTTTAAAATATTAATTCTTGCGGGGAGATATTTAAATGTCAGGAGTGAAGAGAAGGCAGTCAGAAATATAAAGTAAGTAAAGGAGAAGGCAGTCAGAAATATAAAGTAAGATAAAAAAAATAAAAAACGCTTTTCCTCTGCAGTCTCATTAGTAACCTTGAGCGGGGGTCTCAGGTGACGGCTGATTGGCTCTCTGCGGCGCTGCCATGATTAACAGCCTTTCAACTAGAAAACTCCATCCATCCCACCTGCAATGACAGCAGTTAATGCTCGCTAACACAATATGTTAGGAGTTGAGATGATGAGTGGCGGCCCACGCGTGTGCGGGAGGGATTAGGGGGATGACCATCTCCATTAACGCACTCCATTTTCTTGATTGCCCTGTCACACGGAAACACGTGACGCAGCAGGAAAAGAAGACAGCGGGTCAAGAGGCGGCGGCGGCTTTTAGCGCTGAATGAAGTTCTCGGGGTCAAACTGGTGCGACACCATCGTAGATCACAGAAAATGGCTGCGGTTTCGCACCTGTACACCTGACAAATAACTGATAGTCCTACGAGCCGCAGGTGAGCGTTTTTGTATTCATCAGCCTAAAAATATCCTCCTTATGCACAACAAGGGAGACCTTTCACTTCCTGCTGTCAGCTAAAAAAACAAGTCTGCAGACACTAATTACCTGGGTTAGAGTTTCTAAAAAGCACAACCACACAAACACACAATTAGAGGAAATGTCGGACGTTTTTATCAAAGCAGCATCCACTGAGGCTGACGAACGTCTGTACAAAATTAAGAATCAATAAGATTTCTGAACACAGTCAGATTTAATTGGTGGACTCGGCCACACAGTAGCTAGAACCACTGCTCCACACTGGAGATAATTTACATTTTCTTCCCTCTCTGTGTGTGCAGTACAAAAGGTTGTCAAGAACAGATACTTGGAAAGTTAAACGTAAATATGTCTATACGTGTTAGCCGAAAAAATGAACAAATGAGAAAAAAAAAAAACAAAAGCCAGAAGAGTACTGAAGAAAAGTACTGAGAAAAATTGGGCAAATTCTCCATTGACTAAATTGATCCTTAATAATTATTATGTATGAATTTTTGTATAAATGACACTTTGTAAATTAGTGATATATTTCAATAAAAGAGAGGAAACAAAATGGTGAATGTGAACACTCTTTTTCAAGTTTTCAATTTTCAAATGTAGCAGATCAACGGTTGACGCCGTCGACACCAAGTCGTCAGCAACCATTGCTGTCATTTTGATGGTAGTAAACGTCGACAACAGCACCGTGTAATCAGGCGACTACTCAGACATGATCTATAAATTAAACCTGGAACTTTCAACGGAGACCAAAGAATGAATAAAAAAAATACCGAATACTGAAGGACAACCAGCCAATTATGACATTTTTTCATCACAGTACATATTCCTTCCATTCAACTCTTAGCCTTCTATAGAGATAACTATGGTGACGACCATGAACTTCTATTCCAAGAACTGTAACCCTCTCAGCATGTCCCCTTTTTCTTTTCTTCTTTCAAACAGATAAATTGAAAATGCTGCAACAAAAGCTGTACTTTTACAGAAGCTGATTCAAACGTAGTACACGGTAGTACTGCGTTTATTTGGATCCAGGACACGACCGTCTATGTATGAAGACCTGATATAAATACCAGTAATACTCTACACATGTCCAGGTATCTTCACATCCCTACAGAGGAAATGTTTTTTTTTTTTCCTGTCATTCAGCC